TGTCATCAGCAAACAAAGAAGCTGGCATTATCTATAATAGCTTCAAATTGGAACCAACCGAAGTGTTTAATAGGTCTGGACAGTGTTTTCACAAAGCAATGAAATACAATACTTTCACTGAAGGTGAAGATTCTGGTCAAAATAATATCAAATGAGAAATTAAAACAAAATAACAATGATTGTGTCGATCTAACAACCAGGTTTATAACATAATAAAAGGGAATAGAATCTTCTAAATAGTAGAAGCTCTTATGAAGAATTGAGCTTGACCCCAACAGTACACTTTTCCAATATGTTTTTACATATGCACTTAGATTAAGTGCTTGGTTTTCTTTACAAAGTAACCCTTTCTGCAAATCAATGTTTACTGAGTGTCCACTATGCACCAGATATTGTTGGGGAAACAACAGTGAAAAATAAATTTGCCAACCTCATGGAACTTACGTTCTAATGTGGGACAGAGGTAATAAACAAAAATGTTATGGTACTACTTTACAAAAACCTCTCATGTTTAAATTTGACAGCCATGCTGTCAAGTAGCTAGGGCTTAATGAACACATCTGGTAGATGAGGGAATAAACTTGGCCAACATCAGCTAGCTAATAAGTGACAGACCCAGAATTGGAACCTAGATTATCTGGTACTTCCACTTCTGGCAATGGAAGGCTAAGTAATTCAGATCAACCCTCCTACCAAAGACAACTTAAAAAGCTGGATCAAATATTTGTTTAATTTTCTTAAAACCATCAAAACCACAATAAGGTACCAAAGAAACATCAGCCAAAATCTAGGAAAGGACAAACCCTAGCGAGGTTAGCTAGCCCATAAAGCTTTTATCCAAAGGCCTTTGTCAATCTGGAAAAACAAAACAAAGAAACTTTGAAATTAAGCTCCTGTTTTGATAGTCTCACAAGGCCAAAGCTCAGAGCCTGCCCAAGTGAGGGATTCAGATAAACCACTCACCCTGTCGCCTGCAACTCATGGCGGCCCAGCTCCAGGTTGAGCTGTTGTTCAGCATCTTAGCTGTGGAGGGCAGTGTCACTGGCCCTCATATGTGGGATCCGAACCGGGCCCTCTGGTGTCCCAAGCCAGCTCTTAACCAACATACCACTCGGCTGGCCCAAAACTTGTAAGTTTGAATTAGTCCCATATGTTAATTTTTTCTTTTACTTCCTTTGCCCGCGGAGATGTATCAGTAAAAATATTGCTCAGGGTAATGTCTGCAAATTTAGACCCTATATTTTCTTCTAGGAGTTTTATGGTTTCAGGTCTTATATTTAAGTCTTTAATCCATTTTGAATTTGTTCTTGTATGTGGCGTAAGGAGGTGGTCCAGTTTCATTTTTTTGCATGTGTCAGTCCAATTTTCCCAGCACCATTTATTAAATAGACTATCTTTACCCCAATGTAAATTCTTGCTTCCCTTGTCATAGACTAACTGCCCATATATGCCTGGATTTAATTCTGGGCTGTCTATTCTGTTCCATTGATCTACGTGCCTGTTTTTATGCTGGTACCATACTGTTTTGATTACTGTAGCCTTGTAGTACATTTTAATGTCTGGAAGCTTGATCCCCCCGACTTTGTTCTCAGGGATAGAAAAGACAGTCTGGGAAATATAATCAATAATGTTGTAAATATTTTTTAGGGGGCCAGATGGACTCATGTCTTGTTAGGGCGACCACTTCATAGTCGGTGTAGAGGCCTGACCACCGCACTGTATTTCTGAACTGATGTTGAACAATATTGTGTCAACTATAACTATATATACATATAGTCACGGGACGTGGAGTACAGTGTGGGAATGGAGTCAATGGAATAGTAATAGATAAGTATGACATCGGGGGTGGAAGGACAGTAGATGGGGGAGGGGGGTTGTTTCTGTGTGAAAGGTGAAAAGGATAACTATTGTATTGTTCTGTGCACCTGAAACTAACAATAATAATAATAATAAAAAGAAACAATGAGCTTTCCTACTGGTTAGAACTCTTCCAGCTGTTTTGTTTGAGCATCCACCGGCCCATAAGGTTTGGGTGTTCATTAAATCCAATGAGTGTTTCTTTAGGACCTAGCATTGCTTGCCCCCAGGGCTGTGGGTTAGGTGACTTGAAAGGTGATGATGTAGGATTTGTGATATTTCTGATTGTGTGTGTGCACTGGGATTGTGGTCTCCTGGAACTGAATAATGGAGGCCTGGACCAGAGAGGTAAAGTTTGCAGCAAAGGACAGTTTATTAAAGCAGGAAGAGTTATAGCTCTCAAAGTGAGAGGGCGATACCTGAAACTGGGATGTCCTCTAGCTAAAGCAAAGGCTTTTGCTTTTATACTTTTTTTGTGTGTCTGGAGAGAAGAGCTGGCTTGTGCCTTTTGGTACTATTATCAGATTTGTTTTGTTTAGCCTGGAGGGGGCTTTTGTAACAGCCCATTTTTCTCAGAACATAATTGGGCTGTGATGCCATTATCGCAAGACTAAGCCAGCTGTCAGAGTTGGTGTTTCTGCTCTGACTGGGGCATGTTATCTTAAGTGGACCTGTGACACAGATTTGCATCTATACCTTAAGGGGGAATGTTTCCAGAGGTATCACAGCCTCAAGCACTACTAGGGTTTTTGGTGAGTATTTACTGAAAATTTCAGTTCACAAAAATAGTTAGCGAATGTGTTATAAAATTTTAAAGTAACACAGTATAAAAGTTGATTTAGATGGTTTAAACCCCGGGAACAAGCATTTAAACAATTTAAATGCCCTGTCTTCATGTGTTAAGGCCTATGCTTTGAAGATATGCATTTTACCTGGGGATTCCTGACTACCTTATGTTATGCTAACTAACCTGCCTGATGTTATGTTAACTAACCTGTCTTAATCCCCCCCTTTGAAGACAGAACCCTAACTTCTGAATTTTTTTGTTATAGGCTTGAAAAAAACTTTCCTCCACCCCCACCTGAGTTTGTCACTCTATCGGGTCCTGTGACTTAAACCTATCTGCCAGCTATTAGAATGATTTCCCCTGGCTCTGTTATGGTTTCTGCCTTAATTCCCTGTACCACGGCCATTTCCCTGACTGTCTATAATTTTTTCTATCTCAGTGACAAGGGCTATAAGACATGACATCTCCCTTTTGGGGCTCAGTGAAGAGGTTAGATATCTGTGAGCATAGAAATAAGCCACCTGGATGGACGACGGTGGTAAGATCGATAATTATGATAGGCATCCATGGGTAGGAGGGGTGGGTTTGCTGGCTGAGGGAGGGCAGCCCGACCAGCTCATCTCTCAGGAGAGCAGGCTAGGACTTAAAAGCTCCATTTCATAGATCTAAAAGCAGAGATGAGGCCTCCCCTGTCCACGAGGACATCAATTTGAATTAGCATCTGAAGCCAAATTCGATGCATTTAGCCTTTCCTGCATGTACTGGGATAGCAGAAACCTGGGAAGCAGGGTCAGAAAGCAAAAGATGTGAAACTCTCTTGGCTAGCACCCATCTGCCCCCTGCCCCTCCCACTTTCTAGTTGTCATTTGCAGGGAAGGTGGTGGAGTGGGGAGGAGGTGATGGCAGATGGAGGAGATGAGCGCCCTGAAACCCTTCTTCCTCCCGGTTCATTCCATTCCTGAGTTGCACTTGAGCTCCTGCGCCCTGAGCACCTACGAATGTTCTGATTTATGGTGGAAAAGCAGCCTACAGAGGGTCAGATGAAAACTTTGGGCTTTATGTGGGCACAGTCACAAGGAAGTTCCAGTGTCTTGTCCGAGGACACATGTCAAGCCAGAAATAGAAGTCGGATCTCTGGCCTGCCAGTCTGGGCTGCTCTCAGCTAACGCTCTGCTCTGCGTGAGTCACAGATGCGCCCAGCACAGGGAAGCAGCTGAGGGGCTCAGCATCTCTCCATAAACCTCGGGAGCCAGGGTGAGGGAAAGAGAGAAGTTTTTGTTCATGAGCTCATTCCAATCACAATGTGTCCAGACGCCCAAATATTTGATTTGAGCCTGGTTGCTAAGAGACCTCCCACTGGGACCCAGCTGCCTGCGGGCAGGAGGGTGGTGTTGGCATCGCTTCAGATTTCTACCAATTTATTTTGAAACCCGAAAACCTGGAACCCTGGCCTCCTCAAGGCAGCCATGGGGAGAGGAGGTCTGAGTCAGCTAAGCACCAGGGGAAAAAAACTCCACTGACCTCCAGCCAGGGATCTGGAGGGAGGAGGGCTGGGGATACAATTCTTACACAGTGATTGTTTACTTGGTGTCACATATGCCAGTATGGCAATGAAGTAGGGACTGGAGCTTTGTGCTTGGTCGTGCGGGAACGTGTCGAAGCAACCTCGGGGACTCTAGAATGGTGCTGAATTTCAGAGTTATAACTGGTCCTCGGGAAGCCTGCCTTGATTCATTAATCAGAGCCACACACCCAGCTGCTTGGGTTTTAATTGCCTGGTGATTTAAACCTCCTAAGGGAGTGACATGAGCAGAAGCACCCTCAATAAGTGTGTGAGGGGTCAGGGCACGGGGGAGGGCTGGGGAAACCACACTTTCTCAACAGAAGGCAGACAGCTAAAGGGAACAGGCTTACTGTCATGACTGTCCCCAGGGAACAGATGTCCCTGTCCCTCCATACTAGGGAGCAGAATAGAACCTTCTGGCCAGGGCCCTGGCCGCAGCACCATTCTCAGAACCAGGCAATGATCCATACAGGCCTTAAACTTTTTCTAGGATATTTTGTTTCTGAATTTTGCTGTAATACTCTTTATAGACAATTGTTTTTGTGTGAGAAACATAGGTTTTGCTCTCAGGAGTTTAGGATGCGAGTTGTCAAGTGAAATGTAAAGGTCATGGATAGTTACCCTTGGCTTTGCACCCTAAGACCCCTTTTCTGTTAATTATTTGCTCAGAGGTAGTATGGTGGGTTTTGCTTTTGGCTAAACTGTACTGTGAGCTTCATTGTCCTCTGTGTAGACATGTGCCTTTGGGAAAGTTCTGAGGCCTCAGTTTCCTCATCTGTCCAAGCCATCCAGAAAGAAGTGTTTGTCGGGTTTGAGACGAAGGGCAGTAGTTTAGTGCTTGGGAAAAAAATCAACAGGGAAGAGAAGGAGCTTGAAAGAAAACATGGAAGCAGTGAATGGATGGGGTTGGGCTGAGCGCAGTGCTGGGGTACGTGGTGATCAGTTTCTAAGCCATTCCTGCATTTTCTCTGAGAGGCTGCAGTCAAGTCTGCTTACCTAAAAACAAAGATAAGAAAGGAATTATGTGCCCAGTTTCATGTACAGAGGACTTGAATGAAGAATTTGAATGTAACGTAGAAGATAAGGGGAAGCCACAAATGCATCATGCAGCTGGGTCTCTTGGTTTGGGAAGGCATTAAATCATCAGCAGGTACTACGTTGTCCATCTTGCAGAACAGGGAAAAGACCCTCCGGAAATGGAATATAACTGAGTCCAGAGAGAAGGCTCTTCAGTAAAGCCAGTTTTTGCTGTTAAGTCTGTGTGCTGAAGAAATCTGCCAGAGGTGTTTAAGTGTGTTCCCCCCGCCTCTATGGTAAACATACCATGCCATCTGAGGTACCAACGATTTGTTTCCATGAAAGAAGCTCTGATGTCACAAGGGCTGCATTATGATGTCATCACAGGATCCCTTAGGCGCTTGGCAAAGCATCTCATTTTGAATACAGATATCCTTGCTAATGAGGGACATTGGCAGGGAGGAGGAGAACACTGCTCCAAAAAAGATAAATGCGGCAGACGGAGGGCCAAATCATTCTGCATAGAGATCTTGAATGTTCCACGGGGTATTCAGCCAAAAGCTGTCTCTTAGTTTTTCAGTAATAATAAATGACAAAGCCTAGAGTAAAAATAAACCCATTTCCAGTGTTGATTCTGGCTGGTTCAGCGGGAAACAGCCTTGTTAACCTTGAGGGGCTCCGTGGAGCTGTCTGAGATTTGGAAGTTGGGAGGAGAGTGCCTGGGGAAGGAGAGAGGGTCTTCTAGGGGCTCATCGTTTAAACATTTTTCCTCATGTGTCAGCGTAAGGCCAGTGGTTGCATTATGTAGAGTGCCTACATGTTGTCATGGGTGTAGTCAACGCCCCAATAATCCCACAGACTGGTTTCTGTGCATCTGGGGTGCAAGCTCCACAGATGCCTCAATTTGTGAACCCTGGAAAAAGCAGTTGGACCAGGAAGGCACTTAACCTGATTTTTTTTTTTGCCTAGTAACTTCTGTTACTCACCTTTCCTGTTTTTAGAAACACTTGGAGAAACAGAAAAACCATGGCGGCCTACAGGGGCACCTTGTCAATTTGAAGGAGCATATCCTTTTTAAAAATTAAGCTACAAGCTATTTGCTTTCATAAAAACATTGGTTTCTCCTTGTAGGTCTATGGTTTAAATATAAAAACTGCTGTATATTTCTGGTTACAGATTTCTAATGTGCTGGTTTGGAAGAGTTAATGCTCGCAGTGCCAAGACACTCTTGTGGGGGGTCATGTGTTAGTAGGATCTGGCTAATTGATAGGTTTGCTTTAGCTAGAAACCCCCTACCGGAAACAAGACTCTTGTGATAGTCCAAGATTATTTACATCTAATATAAAATGTGATAATGCAGAGGAAGTCTTGTGGGTAGGTGTGTTTTGGGTAGGATATTTTTTATTTTTAAACCCTTTATTTTATAATCCAGGCAAAAACCCCGAAAAACAAAAAAACAAAGAGCCAGATGTGACAGCTATTAAAAAAAAGATGCATACTATTAATACCTTATGTTTATTGACTGCTTTTCTTCTGAGAAGTCCATAGTGCTTTGCCAATGTTACCCATCCCAATATGTTATCCTCGTTTGAAGAAAGGACTGGAAAATGCCTGAAGTCAAGGGAGTGTGTGAGACATCAGATGAGAGCTGGGTTCTTGCATTTTGCACAATACCTTGTCTGCTTTCTACTCTATTCAGTGCACCTGTATGGGAAGATGGAGAGATGCCTTTTACCAAGTTGTGTTTTAAAAATCCCTTCTATTGCACCCACTCACCATTGTTTAGCTGTAGCCCTAAGGCAAAAGCCTGAACACACAAACAGCTCTTACCGGACCTCCTGACAAACCCAATTACTTGTTGGCTGTTTCCTGCATCAGGCTGTGTGCAAAGTCACTTTTGCATGGTGTACCCACCTGCTCACCAATAATGTGATTTCAGGGCCACTGCTCTCTACTGGACTGGAGTTAACATTCAAGGAACTGCCCCGGACTGTCTTGAGACTGAGGCCTGCAGAGATGCCCCATGGGTAGAATGCATTTCAGAATCCTGGTTAATTCATCTATCTTTGGCACATCCCTAGGGCTTCACCTCAGACTTCCTTAATGACTAGAAATTGAAATCTATTACTAACTATCAAGAGAAGGAATGTCTGAAGTAATACTGCAATTTTCTCTGGAGCTCCTGGTCTGAATTCCTTCACATGTATACAATATTCTATTGAGGCTGTGCTTCACCAGAATTAGAAAAGCAACCAGGAGCC